CTGGAGGTGGAATATATTTGTTACGGTGAGTTCAGGCTCTCACTTCACTAAAATCTGTCTACGAACAGGAACAGCTTTAAAAACTTGGTGCAACAAAAACAGCAACTTTATGGATGTTTTCTCTACTCATTTTAATTTTCTGCCTTTTCTACACAAGAAGCCATCAGTAGCAGCTTCATTCATTATTTAGCCTGATTAACAAATGCAGGATATTAAATTAGTCAAATTGATTTGATACTAAAAAATTAGTGTTTTCCTTGAACTTTTAAAAATACTCTGTGCTAAATTCAGTTTTTATTTTTATTTATTTCTTTGTTCATTGTGTTTTTACTTCATTTCATTCATTTTTTTGTTTTAAATATAAAAATCATCACAACAAAATAAAAAATATAATTTCTTCAGGTTTGGACAACCCTGACCTTCCTCTTCATGAGACTGTCTTGGTCAGAGGCTTCTCCAGACTTGCTGTAATACAGACTGCTACAAGAGATCTCTTCTTTCAAAAGCCTTCAGCATCTACACTGTAAAATCTAATTAGTTATCAATACTTCAAAAATTCTTCAGTTCTTGTTGAGGCTGATGGCTGTTGACAGGAACGATCTCCTGTAGCAGTCTGTATTACAGCGAACCTGAAGAAGCCTCTGACTGAAGACACTCTTTTCCCAAGACAGTCTGAAGAGGATGTCAGGGTCGTCCATAGTTTTCTTGATTTTATGAATAATCCTGTGTGCTTCATCATGATCATCATCATCATCATCATCATCATGATCATCATCATCATCATCATCATCATGATCATCATCATCATCATCATCATCATGTCCAGAGGTTCCCCAGTCGTGCCCAGAATAGAAGCAGACGTCTCCTTCTTCATCAGGATGCTGATGAAGGCTCTGATGCTGCTGCCCCAACAGACTGAGAGAAGATCTGCAGCATCTTGCTGCAAACCTGGAAGGATGTTAGCTTCCTCAAGAATCTAGCAGAAAATAACCTGGATTACAATTAAACACGATAAATAAAGTAATAACACAGATTATAGTTTGAAAATCTCTTTATTTTTCTTCCTGTTATATCAACCTTAAAGATAGCCTTTCTCTCCAACTGCTTCTCTTTGTAAACTGCTTCACTCAAAATAAAACAAAAAGCACAAAGAAGAACATGTACATGGCCTTACATTAAATAATTCAGTTTTTAAGATTATCAGTGTTTTCCTCTCAGTTCACAGCAGCTGGGCTGGTAACTGAACTCTGCTGGCAAACCCCAAACTGTTAGCAAGCAACCCAGTGTTTGTAGTTAGAACCAAATATATCCATGAATCCCTTTTTGTTATTTCACCTTCAATGAGACTCTGGTAAATACAAACTGAATGTTCCCATAACTGAGTGGCTCTTAGATGCTGAAATGAGAATTTACCAAGCAGGTTATGGTCACTGGGGCCACGGCCAAGTGGAACTGGGAGAACTGGGAGAAATACAATAATCCACATGGCCATCACATCTAGAAGTGGATATTAATAAGTAATTTATTAATGCCTAGTCTGAAATATTTAACTAATGAGGAACGTCCCAAAACCTCACCTACTCAAATTCATTTCAACTGTTCACATAATAGCACTATATAATATCTAAGTCACGTCCCTTCTGCTGGACCTCATAGGACATTTAATTTAATTTAATTCAATTTAATTTAATTTAATTTAATTTGATTTAATTTAAGTTTATTTAATTTAATTTAATGCAATTTAATTTGATTTAATTTAATTTAAGTTTATTTAATTTAATTTAATG